GTCTGATGATTCAAGAGTCCATTTTATAGAGGAGCCAAAGGAGATTGAAAACCACAAACGCCACCTAGCTAAAATTAGTGTTGATGATTATGTTTGAGATTGAATGAGAAAATCATGCACGGTCCCTCTTGACCTTGTGCGTTTTCTATATATGGAGTTGTATATGTGTGCACCGTGCCTAAACTTCCAGGGACCGAGGCAAATTAAAAAATAAAATTTATATATATAAGTTTTAGCGATAATTATAATTTAGTTTCAAATAATTGTTAAGAATGTCCATAAAAAATTAATGAAACTTACTAAACAAAACAAACTCTTATTTTAGCATGGAAGTAATTTTGAATTTGGAATGAGAATATCAAAAAAAAAATTAATCTTAACTTTTACCACTAGATTATAATTAACATTTGGAAAAGCAAAGCCCTAAAATTATATAATATTATCTGGGGTCCTAGGCAAATGTTTTTTTTTAATATATGGGAGGCACGACCCCTGTATGTGTGAGTGTATATACGTCTGTTTCATCTAGGAGTAGTTTCAATTCGGTTTATCGGTTGTACAGAAACAGTAACCAAGTAAAAATCATTTGTAATACGGTATAGTCTTATTTGGTTTCGATCATGTAATTACTTTGAGTTGGATTTTAGTTTAAATTTGGTTTAATTATAGATAAAATATCATCTAAAACACAAATGAAAACTTATTGAAAAGAAAGATAAAATAACATATCACATGATTACATTTAGGGCCCTTACATTTATAACTTGGCTCGAATTTTTTGGCTTCACAACGAAGACATAAATATCAGTTTCGTTCACGCACGAGGGGGTGAATTAAAGATATGTAATCTCGTTTCACCGTTTTAGAGGATCAAGTGGGAGTAGCCTACCTTAAGGAACACTTATTTAGTCCTACCAAGTTATATCCAAAACTTCGGGTCACTAAAAGCTTGCAAATTAACTCACATAGTAATATGTACTATATAATTAATGTCAAACTCCTAACCAAGTGGCTAAAACCGAATTTTCTCAACTGGTATTTAAGAATGAGACGAACTTTTTTTCCTGGGACGTACTATATATCTCAAACAATGTGTTGATCGCTCGCGATATTTTCCATTGCGTTATTCAGGAACGAGAAGTGTTGTATTAGACATAAGCAAACTTTATGATTGGATTGAAGGGAGTTTCCTACACGAGGTTTTGAAAAGATTAGGTTTCAATAGCATTTGAATTAGTTGAATCATAAAATGTGTAGCTACAACTTCTTACTCCTTGTTTATCGTCGGAGTCCTCCAGGGACAAGTATTGCGTATCGAGCGGTTCTCACCGCACCTCTTTAGTAGATTTTGTCGTCTAATTAATCAGGCGCACTTACGACTGTATAAACTGGTAGTCGAACTTAGGTAATAAAGTAAGTCGAACTTAGGTAATAAAGTAAGTTTTGTTTTGGCCAAAAAAACAAGAGCATATTTAATTGTTGAAGAAATAGAAAAAGAAAAAAAGATGATAAGGGATACAATTAAAATTCAGTCAATAGCTTAGTTTTGATGAAATTGTATATAATTTTCATTATAAAACTATGTAAAAAAAACACTCAGAATTTTTAATTTTATAATTGAAGCAGTGATAATAGAGTTTGAACGTATTTATTTATATTACTCGTACAAATTTAGCAAAAAAAAGTATTACTCATATATATAAAGAAATTGAATGGAAAAAAATCTCACATGAATCGTATTAAATTATGGGAAAATCGCATAAAAAATTTTCAAAGTGGCATCGACAGACACTTTAAACCTCCAAAATTTTTCACTCACACTTTAAACTTTCAAGTTGATAATATTAACATAAAAAAACGCCGTCAAAACATTTACCAGATTTGTACAATTATGTTGCTTTAAATTTGGTTTTTAATAAATAAAATTAATTTATTAATCTAAAAAACAGATTAAAACAAAAATTTATTCCTCGTTCTCTTTCCCCTCTTCTCCTTGGTGGAATCCTCCTCTGCTTTCTCATTCCTTCCTTCATTATCCTTGATCACAGCCTTTTCTATCTAACATGGTCTCGAACTTTCTTAGGAGATCACTATGTGGATCTCTTCTTCCACTCTCAAAATAATCTACCATCAGTATTCTCCTCCGCCGATCTCTCTCTCTCCCCCTCCGCCGTCACTTTGCCACTTCAACTTGAACACATTAGCTTTCTAGATAAAACGCGGATTCAGATTCCTTTCCCCCAAAATCCAAGTCTTCTGGAACTTAACCCGAGCCAAATTCGACTCCAGATCCGTATTCTACATCGATTTTCGTGTCCACAAAGACGTGAATCTCTGTTTTAGCGTCGATTCGAAACTCGTTTTGAATATGCAAAGATTGAGATGGAAATTTCAGAGGGAATGAGAAAGTCCAAATCGATGTAGTTTATGTCCAGATCTCTTGGGATGTATACAATTCCAGTGACGGAGACGGATACGCCGTGTTTATGTTCAGATTCTATAGCGATCAAGAAGCAAAGGAGATTAACGAAACGAAGAGGAAAGAAGAAGATGAGAGAAACGGCGTCATTTTTTGAGCAATCTGAAGCAGCGTGGAAGGAGTTTAGGGATTAAAGGGATTGTAAATCGACCGCCTATGAGATCTGGTCTGAGAACGATCAGAGAAGAAGGGGTCGACGAAGAGAGAGAGAGACGACGAACCATTTTTTCTTGTTTTTGGGTTTTTTTCAATAATATTTTTTAGTCAATAAGTAATAAAATAATCATTTAAAATTAATTTGTTTGTTAAAAAATTAATCTAAAATTAAGTTATTATTATTTTTAACCGAAGTTATACAAATCTGTTAAATGTTTTGACGGCGTGTAGTAGTCATATGGCACTTTGGAATGTTAATATTGTCGACTTGAAAATTTAAACTGTAAGTGAAAAACTTTGGAGGTTTAAAGTGTTAGTTGGTGCCACTTTGAAGATTTTTATACTATTTTCTCATTAAATTATCCTAAAACTAAGGCAAACTATATATAAAGAAAATTAAAATGAGTTTTTTTTTTTCTATTCAATTTTCTAACGACATAAGTGTAGAGAATTTTAAAACCACTAGCCATGACACAATATCAAAAAGTTTATTATCTTCATTAATTATTTGTTATTTATCTCTCTGACTAGCCAAATAATATATGAGAGATTACTACGTACTCATTTAGCAAAAAAAAAAAGATTACTACGTACTGAGTCACTCTTCAGCTCCAAGCTTGAAGGGACTATTATGTTAAAAAAAAACATAAGAAATGTATTTCAAAACTTTTTCCATCGCACCCTAATCACCAGATTGGATGGATGCATGGTGGGCTAGCGACATTCAAGAATCCGCTTTAGCGACTTCAGTGCAAGCTGCTGGTACCATCTTTCCGCTAACGACAGGCTTCACGTTTAAACAAGCCGAGACAGCTGGTCCCTCTTTACCGTTACTGACCAAGTCGATGTTTGTGAGGGCAATGTTGGAGCAAGGCTGGCTTTGCTACCAATTAGTTTCACGGCTATCTTACTGGCTGATGTGCCCTTAATGTTCTTGAAGGTTACGTCCGACAACTTCACTTTCGATGGGACCTAACATAGAGAGGTTTAAAAGTTTGATCAATATTATCACATGTGTCAAAATTATTGGTTTTGATTTAAAAACTCATGAAACTTAACGTTTCTAATTTAATTTGAAATATATGAAAAGTTTGATTCAGCTACATACCCCAGCTTTGCATTTGCCATGAGGACAATACTCTTGGTCGATGAGAATGGGAGTGGTAACATTGTCCATTGTGATATCCTCAAAAAGAATGTTAGAGGCGATACTAGGAGGAGATCCCGGCCATGTCTTGATGCGAACACCATTATCGGTGTTCTTAATGAGGCATTTCCTCACAGTGACTCCATTCAGTGGTTCCTCATTGGGATACTTTCCAAGACTCCCGATGGAGATACCGTGTCCTGGTCCACATTCTACGTTCTCAACAATGAGATTTTCAGTACCCTGTCCGATGGAAACGCAATCATCTCCGGTTTTAATCTTTGCCCCTATTAAGTTGACGCCATTTGACCTTCCGATGTGGATACCATCGGTGTTGAGACTCTCYGGAGGWGCATCAATACCAATATCTYGAAGAGTTAKGTTCTTGCAGTTRAGRAYGTTCATRTGGAAAAGTTTGCTGTTTGTTGATGTTATGCCGATAATTTTCGAGTTTGTAAGACCCGTGAATCGGATGTTCTGTAACCAAATACTACCGAGTTAATAAACTATATATTCGATAACTTTATATATTTTAATTTGAATGTGCTTACGATGGGGAGATTGTTGCATTCCCCAGTTTTAGCGCAATCATTGGCCTTCCAAGCGAGGGAGCCTTGACCATCAAAAATGGCTCCATTTCCATTCAAAGTGAAATCAGCGACCTTGTCGATATTAATCCATCCGGAATGTCTTTCGGTGCTAGTGAATGTAGCTTGGGCCTTTAGATTGCCATTCATTTCCATAGTGACCGGACCTTTGCATGGACCTTTGAGCTCTAGGGTTTTCACCATATACTCACCCTTTGGCACTGTAATTGTTCCTCCTGCTGCACACGCTTTTTCCCATGCAGCCGTAAATGCCTAAATCGCAAAAAAAAAAAAAAATCTCTTTTAAAACCATACAAAACCGAATTATATAATTAGAGTGAATAAACATATATACAAACGTTATATAAGATTTGATACGTACCGCACTGTCATCGGTTTTGCCGTCTCCTTTAGCGCCTAATGCTGTAACGTCAAGTGATCCACCACTTCCTTTGGCTCCTGCTGCAGCACTTCCTTTGGCTCCTACTGGTCCAGCTGCAGCACTTCCTTTGGCTCCTGCTGGTCCAGCTGCAGCACTTTCTGTGGCTCCTGATGATGGTGCAGCTGCATCGGCTTCTTTAACTTTGTCTTCTTTAGGTGTTCTAGCTCCGTTTGCCACTGTGGTGGCCATAACTACTAGTACTACGAGGAGCCAAGTGCTCGCTTTGCGCAAACCCGCCATTTTTTATTCTCTTTATTGTTGGTTTTGTTTTATTTATCTAATTGCTTTTTTTTTTAATTTTTTTAAAAATTTAATATTGTTTTTGTTTCTGGTTTGTTCTGTTGATTCGAGAGTCCGTTTTATAGAGGAGCAAAGCGAGATGGAAAACCACAAATTCTTACGTGGCTAAAAATAGTTCCGAGGATGATGTTGAAGATCGAATCAGAAAATTATGAACGATCCCTTTTGACTTGGTGCGTTTTCTATTTATGGAGTTATATACATATGTGAATGTATATACATCAGGAACATGCATAATTTGTAGGGAACGTTCATAACTTGTAAATAATAACATGCTTTTCTTTCATTTGGATTAAAAGGGTACATGATCACCAAATTAACTCATTTGGGCCCATACGTGAAGAATAATGATTAATGGGCTTCGAACGAACCATTTAATATTGACTAAAACGAGGCAAAACCCTACTAAACGTGAATGAGACACATAGCAAATGGAGCGCGGCGGCGATAGTGTCGTAATCTCCGATTACGACGTTGAGGCGAAGAGAGAGAAGCTGAAATCGGCTCTCTCTCATCTACTTTCCGATCCGATTCTCGCCGACGTTCCGAGGAATCCAACTCTTTCCGATGTCGTCACTCTCGTCAGCCTTGAAAAAGGAAGCGCTATGCGTCTCTCCGTCGTCAAGCTCGACGGCTCCTCCTTGGGTACTCTCAAATCTCTTTCTATGTATTTTCATATGGGCATTTTGTCGAACAAGTGGTGTGCATTGTAGAATTTACATGGATTTTCTCTTGTTCCTTACTTTTTTTCTCTGTTTAGATGTTGCGGTCATGAATTCAGCTACTTTGAAAGATCTGAAGCTTCTGATCAAGAAGAAAGTTAACGAAATAGAGCAAGCAAACATGGGTCATCGCTACATTTCTTGGTGAGCTCATCTTCACCTTTTCTTTCTTATTCTTGTCGGAATACAGAAAAAACTTGTTGTTATAGGAGTTTTTGGGTATATGTAGGAAGCATGTATGGTCAAACTTCTGCCTTTCGTGCAATAATGTGATGTTGCTTGACGATGACGCTGTTCTTCAGGATGCCGGAATCCGGAACAACTCTCAGGTTACATATGCACATGTCGCAGAATCTTTCACTTTCTATAAGAGTTAATTGTGTTCATTGATATATATGCTATGTGTCTTTAATCTTGTTTTGTTTGGTGATCATGAATACAGGTGACCTTCATGCCATATGTGATGAAGAAGGGTCGAGGAAGACACTCAAAGAGGAAGAAACATCGTCTCTTTCGTTCTCTCCATAAGACTTATTGAAGTTTTATAGATGATGGTAATCAAAAGCTAATCTCTCAGCTTTAGTTACATTTGATTCTTTAGACCAATAGACATGTAATTTGCTCTGTAGATTCGGGTTTTTGACCAAACCTACCTAGCTAACACTTGAGTTAAGAATTAGAAACCCTAAGTCACTAAAAAGGGATGAAATCATTAGAGAGCCTTTTCAGAATGATGATTAGGGTTTTGATTTTTCATTTTTGTTCCGTAATGATCAGTTAACTGAGTTAAGATTCCCAGTGATGAAAATTTTAGTAATCTGGAACAGTGATAAAATGGGGCTCCCTCTTGGAAATCTACCATTGAGGTTTTAGAGGAACCATTGCTGTAGAGACTTGGCAACTTCTGAGGGTTTCTTCACTGCCTATTTAAAAAAATTCGAATTTTGTCTCAATTTAGATAAACACAAAATATAATGTGTGAAGCTCGATTTGAGGTTCTCTTTTCTGAAATCAGGATGATTTAGATAAGTTGAGAGATTTTCTTCTTCTAGGCAAGGATAATTCTTGTGGCAAGCATTCTTCGTATGAAAAAGGGAAATGGAAGCTAAGTTCTTTCGATTTTGAAGATTGTTGGAGTTTGGACACACAGAGGCAGAGTTAGGGAAGCAGGGCATTCCTCTGGCGGTTTGGATTTCTTTTTTTTTAAGGCAATGTGGTTTGCTACACCGGAATCGAAAATCTAAGGGTGCATCTGCTGTAGTTGCAAACTTGCTCAAGTTTAGAACAAAGGCGTTATTATCAAGAAGAAACAAGAGAGAACTCTAATTGACCTTTGTTTTCCATTCTTCTTCCAGCTTACCACATTCTGGCAACAACGAAGATGAGGAATTTACAAATCTGTATAGTTAGAAACATCAAATATGTGACATTATTTGTGTAGAGAAACACAAATTTCTTCCGGGTCCTCGAGGACCATAAAACTCCCAAATTTTGTCAATATCTGATAATCCATAAAGCTTTAACATCTCTAATATACAAAATACGACGTTAATGAGTCTAATCTTAAATCTATCAAGTCTCACTAGTACTAAAGAATCTCTGTCTTTTTATAGGGTATCGAATAGACAGAGGACGAATGGTTATATGAAGTAGGAAGGTAGCAATTGTAAATGAAGAGTAAATCGCTTGTTATAAATCAAGTTTTTCTAAATTACTATTTGTAAACAAAACTAAACAAATCATCACATGTTTATACAAATATGAAGTAAGAATCTAGGCCAATCACTTGTGTAAATAATGATGGCGAATTCGATTCTGGTAAACATTAAAAAGCTATTCTTGATGTCACAAAGTCAACACATTAAGAATAGACATATATATTGTCTTACATTTAAATTTGAACATAGATGGACCTACAAATGTCTTTAATCGGATGCTAAATCATATAATTACAGCCTAAAAACAAAAAAACAATAGTATTAAGTGTTTGGGAAAAACCAAAGTGGTGAGAAACTTGTGCACCTCTTACTTTTAAGCTTTTGAAGAACACTCACGGCACAACTGCCCCCACCCACTATTTAATTTAATCAAAACTCTTTACATGTATTTAGTTTAATCGCAGTAACACTTCTAAACGTTTATTAATTCGTGAAGCTATCATAAGAAAATTAAACTCGACATTTCGACA